AATACACCACATTAACAGAAAGAAGAAAAAAAAATCACATAATCTCAGTTATACAGAAAAAGAACTTTTGGCAGGGTCCACCACTTACTTATGATAAAAACTCTACAGAAAACTGGAACAGATTATCTTTATCTTAATCTGATAAATGTCTTCTATGAGAGACAAACAGTCAACCTCAAACTAAATGGACAAAAATTGAAAGCTTTCACTCTAAAATCACAAACAAGACAAGGATGAGCACTGTCACCACTCCTATTCGATATAGTTCTGGAAAGACTAGCCCAAGCAATTAGATAAGAGAGTGAAATGAAAGAAGCAAGGATAGAACAGGAAGAAGTTAAATTATCTTTATTCTCAGATGACATGATACTCCACATAGAAGACTCCCAAAGCTCCACCAGAAGACTTCTAGATTTAATAACCAAATTCAGTAGTCTTACTTGGAAACAAAGTCAGCACTCAAAAAAACCAATAGCATTTTGTACAGAAACAAAAGATTCACCAGAGAGAAATTAGTGAAACCATACCCATCACAACAGCATCCAAAAAAAAGATAGAAAAAAGAGGAATCCATTTAACAAAGGAAGTAAAAATTGATATATTGAATATTACAGTACTCTGAAAAAGGAGATCTAAGAGGATATCAGAATAATGAAAGATATCACTTGCTCATGGATAGGAAGAACAAACATTGTGTAAATGGCCATATTCCCAAAATTATTACACAAATTTAATGAAATTCTGATCAAAATGCCATTAGCATACCTCACAGAAATAGAGAAAATGTTCTTAAAACTTATTTGGTACCCAAAGAGATCTAGAATAGCAAAGGCCATCCTGGGCAACAAAGACAAGATTGTAGACATCACAACCCCTGACTTGAAATTATACTACAAAGCTGACAAAATCAGCAATGTACTGGCAAAAAATAATTCTGAGGACCAGTGAAACAGATCAGAAGATGCTGACACAACTACAAACTCATGCAACCACCTTGTTTTTAACAAAGTTTCCAAACATTATCACTGGAAGAAATATAGCCTCTTTAATAAATGGTGCTATAAAAACTGGTTCTCTACGTTAATGACTAAAACTAGGCCACGTCTTTCACCATGGGCTAAACTAAAGTCAAATGGGCCAAACATCTAAAACAGAAACAGAAGCAGTAAATCTACTGGAAGAGAAAATAGGTAGAAATCTTGATGACACAGGCATCTGTAGAGATTTCAAGAAAAAACCCAGAATGCATGGAAAATACTTGAAAGAATCAACAACTGGAATCTCATTTATTTAAAAGTTTTTGCACAACAAAAGTAATCACCAATAAAATGAAAAGACAATCCAAATTTTGGGGAAAAATTTAGCCCATTGTCCCTCAGACCAAGAATTTCTATCTAGAATGCATAAAGAATTGAAAAAATCAGACTCCTAAAATAAAAAGACCTGATCCAAAACTGGGCATTTGAAATACATCCACACTTCTAAGATGAAGAAACACAAATGGCAAATATATGACAAAATGTTCAACATGACTGGCCATTCGAGAGATGCAAATTAAAACATCACTGAGGTTCTATCTCACTCCGGAAAGAATGGCTATCATTAAGAAATCAACCAATAACAATTACTGGGAGGTCTGTGGTGAAAAAAGAACTCTTCTCCACTGTTGGTGGGAGTGTAGACTGGTGCAACCACTGTGGAAATCATTTTGTAGATTCTGCAAAGAAACTAGGATTAGTGTTCCCATTCTCCTCAGCTCTTCTCCTTCTGGGTGTTTTCCCAGATGAATTAAAAACATACCACAGTGATACATGTGAACCCATGTTTATAGCAGCAGAAGTTTCTATAGCTATATTCATTTTGAATGCAATGAATCCAAGACTGCAACCTCCCAAGTCATGCCTCTTGCAACTCGCCCCTTCTTACCAGGTCCCATTTCTTAACATCATATTAAATGTGAACACATCAATGTATTAATTCAGTGGTGAACACAGAACACTCATTATCCAATCACAATCTAAAACCCTCACATTCAAATATGTGAATATTTTCCAGGGCCTTTCAGATCAAAATATAACAACCTTCCGTATAAAAATTAAGTCAAAATGATTTCCAAGATTAAATATAAAACACAAAACAATATAACGCATTTAAAATCTAGGTGAACGTGAATTTGTTGATGGACTTTTATATACAGCACCAAACCCACAATTTAAAACACAAAAAAGCCCTCATAAACTAGAGTTTTTGAGATGAAAGATACGTTTAAAATCACTCTCAAGGGAATGCAAAAACAAGCCACAGGCAGGAAGAAAATTTTGCAAAAAATACATCCAATAAATGATGTATGAGAGAAGCAAGCCCAGAAATATTAAAAGTTCACAAAGAGTAAACAAATATCCAGATAAGAAGATGGGTTAAACACCTTGAAAGAAATCCTAACAAAGGAGACATACAGACAACCAAAACACATAAATAGGTACATTATATCATATGTCATCAGGGCAATGTGTCAAAATAACCATGAGAAAATACTGTACACCTATTGAAACACCACCAAATCTGCAAAATTGACCACACCTGATTCTGGGAGGATGTGAACTCTATATTTCTTGGTGGAAATGCAATATATTATAGCCATTTTCAGAGAGGATTTGACAGGTTATCTTTTCAAAACTAAATAAAATCTTACTTTATAATCCATAAATCATGCTCTTTGGTATTTATCTAGAGAAATTTAAAATCATTTCCCTATAAACTCCTCCACAGAGATATGTATAGGAGCTGTATTCACAACTGCTAAAACTTGAAAACAACCAAGTTGCCCGTTAGTAAATGAAGGATAAACAAAGGGTGGTGTAACTGGATTATGGAATTGTATCCTGCATCAAAATGAATAACGTTAATCCATAAAAATGGAAGAAATTTAAACTCACTTGTTAAATAGAAAATCCAGGGGCTGGGGATTTAGCTCAGCGGGGGCTGGGGATTTAGCTCAGCGGCAAAAGCGCCTGCCTGGCATGCGCAAGGTCGTGAGTTCGGTTCCTGGTACCGGAGAAAAACCAAAAA